TATATAAACATTTGTATATTAACATTTTGAGAAAACACTTTGGTAATTACCTTGATCTGTATAGATGAATTACAACCCACACGTCTTTTTCTGCGTTTGTGACTTCTTTCACATACTGATTTCCAGAAATTTCTCTTAAGTCCCCAAATTTTTGTTTTTTCTTAAGGGCTTTCCATTCCTGCAACCGTTTTTTTCTAATAAAAAATGAAATTAAATTACTTTAAAAAAATTGCTAAATTCTTAAGGTAATTTCCATATACAGTACAAATGTGGGACATCCTGTAATGCCATACATATCAAGTATTTTAAAGAATGACAGAATGGCCTTATAACGCCAATTTTTGTTTTTATGAGGATTTGTGTTATCATGAGTATCACAAAGTATAAATTCAAAATTGACTACTTAAAATTTATGTTTATCTAAGACTAAAAAACTATGGATATCCATGACTGAAACTCAAAGGGAACACACAAGCAGGCATGGAAGCTTGCTGGTGACCACGTTGGTCTGCTGGTGAGAGGCAGTGGGGGAGAGGCAGTAATGAAGATATGGACTGAGTTCGACCATGTTCCATAGACTCCTGTTGACCTGGAGAGAAGATATGATGAGACCTGAGAACCAGAGCCCATGGACAAGGACATAGCCACGGACAGCTAGAGCTGAGAGTGAAGCATCCAGCTGATATAAAGTGAGGGGAGATGTACAAGAATGCTCAAATTTGCAGATAGTACTCATTTGACCTACCTTGATGGCTTGATGATCAGAACTCAACTAGAGGAAGATAGAAAAATTTTGATAAAGGAAACAAGTATAAATTGCTACAATTTGAGGAACTTGACCTATACTTATGGATGTTGTTGTTGTTGTTGTTAAGTGCCGTCGAGTCGGTTCCAACCCATAGCGACCCTGTACAGGGTTTCTGAGGGTGTAAATCCTTACGGGAATAGAAAGCCTCATCTTTCTCCCATGGAGCGGCTGGTAGTTTTGAACTGCTAACCTTAAGGTTCGCAGCCCGATTCATAACCACTACGCTACCAGAGCTCCTTATACTTATGGATGTAGTAGCTCAAAATACCAACTGAGAAGGATCAAGGATCAGTCCTATCTCCTCTGTACACAGGGTTGATAGGGACGGGCAACTTAGACATTGACCTAAAATGGGGGGGTCAAGTCTTTGCTACTTCAGATCAGTTCCACATGTGTGCAGTTCAGAGGTGAGTCTATGTCAATAAAGGCATTCAGTGACTGGTTTATAAGCTTTCTAGAGGGGGTTAAGCTTCAGAGGGAGTGGGGGAGATAGAATCCCCATTGAATAGTTTTCATCTTGTCTAGATGGGTCTGGTGAAAGGAGATGGGGGATAAGATTCTTATGATTAAAAATGAATAAATGTTATCATGACTAATTGTGATTGTCACAACTGTAAAAGTAGAAGTTTTTAACAAAAAGATGGAGTAGTTAATCTTACAGTCTGGTAACAGAGGACCCTAGGACCATCAAGGAAGAATAGCATGAGCAGAATGTGGGACCCTATCCAGAGAAATAGTGACATCAGCGATGGAGGCAGAGATGATGACATGGAGAAATAGAGCGGCTGAGGACACTAGACTCATGGAAAGAGAAAGGCTGTGTGTTGGCAGCCAGGAGGCAGGCTTGCAGAATGTGCCCTTTGGTTGCCTAAATTATTATATATTCCTGAGTGTTTTTGTGTACATTAAAAAAAAACAACATTGCCATGAAATGAAATATACAATAGGATGAGTGTAAAACAGATGTTCTCCCATGTAAACTAGCACTCAATTCACAATACAAACTTAAAAACAACAACAACTATGGATAACATTGTGAAGAATGGGTATTACAGACCACTTAATGTATTCACAAGGAATCCGTACATAGACCAAGAGACATTCACTCAGACTGAACAAGAGGGTACAGAATGGTTTAAAATCAGGAAAGGTATATAGTAGGGTTGTAGCCTTTCACCATACTCATTCAATCTGTATGCTGAGCAAATAATCCTAAAGATGGATTATATGAAGTAGACCATGGTATCAGAATTGGAAGAAGACTCATTAACCTTCGATATGCAGATGATACAACCTTGTTTGCTAGCAGTGAAGAGGACTTAAAATACTGATGAAGATCAAAGACTACAGCATTCAGTATGCTGAATAAATGTAATTATTTTATAAACAAATAGGTAGCAGAGGACAGTGATTAGGAGCTCTAAGGTCAGACTAAACTGGGTCCAAATGCAAGTGTCATTACTGACTAGCACTGTGACCACTAGCAAGTTATTTAATCTCTCTATGCTTCAGTTTTCCCACCTGTAAATAAGGAGAGTACTAATATCTACATGCCTGGGACTGTTGGTAATTAAATTATATAAAAGAAAACAGCAATCCTCACAATTGGACCAATAAATAACATCATGATGAATGGAGAAAAGATGGAAGTTGTCCAAGACTTCATATTGCTTGAATCCACAATCTCCACTCATGTAAGCAGCAGTCAAGAAATCAAATGATGCATTGCATTAGGTGAATCTGATAAAGACATCTTTAAAGCGTTAAAGAGCAAAGAGATCAGTTTGAGGACTAAGCTAAGCTTGACCCAAGCTATGGTATTTTCAATTGTTTCATATGCATGTGAAAGTTGTGAATAAGGAAGACAGTAGAAGAATCTATGCATTTAAATTATGGTGTTGGAGAAGAATATTGAAAATACTGTGGAATTCCTGAAGAACAAACAATTCTGTCATGGAAGAAGTACAGTCAGAATGCTCCTTAGAAGCCAGGATGGCCAAGTTTCATTTCTCATACTTTGGACGCATTATCAGAAGCGGCCAATTCCTGGAGAAGGGCATTATGCTTGGAAAAGTGGAGGGTCAGGGAAAAAGATGGATTGATAAAGACAATTGTGAGGAGAGCACAGAACCAGGCAGTGTTTTGTTCTGTTGTGTCACCCTTAAGTTGGAACCAACTCAATGGCAACTAACAACAACGCGATACTAGCTTTTGATCATTGCCAACCAGAAAATCAAACCTACTGCCAGGGATTCCTACTCATATCAATCCTATAGGATAGAGTAGAGCTGCCCCATAGAGTTGCCGAGGTTGTAAATCTTTAAGGATGCAGACTGCCACATCTTTGACCAGTGGAGTGCTTGGTGGGTTCAAACAGATGCATTTCTGTTTGAAGGAAGTACTTTAATCACTTTACTACCAATACTCTCTTTAATTATCATTGTTTTGTGAGGATGGGGAGCACAGTGGCTCTGTAGAATAAACACAGGACTGCAAACACAAGTTCTGCAGTTCAAGCCCACCATACATTCCATGGGAGAAAGATGAAGCTTTCTGCTTCCTCATGCATTTATTTCCAGCCTCAGAAATCCTATTCAGGGTCCATGTGAGTTGGAACCAACTTGACGGCACTTAACAACAACAGTAATAATGTATTGTGTGGATGGAGTAGGACAAGGTAGTGTTTTGTTCTGTTCTACACAGCATAGCTCAACAGCACCTAACAACAACAACATAGAGTTTATTCATACAGAAGTTAAATACTTAGTAAAGGACAGTATCCACAATAACAATTGTTGCTTTTATTGTTAAGTGCCATTGGATTGGTTCCGACCCATAACAACTGTGTAGTGTTTCTGAGGAGAGACTTGTGAGCTTGAACTGCCAGTCTTGTGGTTCAAATGACTTTGCAGTCCAGCCCATTTGCCCACACCAGGGCTCCATAATAATAACAGTTCACGTTTATTGAGAGCTTACTGCGCCGCCAAGGAATGTTTCAGTGCATTATATAAACTAATTTAATTCTTGCTAAAATATTTTTTTGCTAGGGACGGGCAACTTAGACATTGTTGTTGTTGTTCAGTGCCGTCGAGTTGATTCTGACCCATAGCGACCCTGTATAGGGTTCCCGAGGAGCAGCTGGTAAGCTTGAACCACTGACCTTGCAATTCAAGTGGCTTTGCAGTCTGGCGCATTAACCCACAGCGCCACACCAGGATTTCAACTTAGACATTAGCTACCTAAAATGAAGGGGCAATAAAGGTTCGAAGTGACTGGCTTACAAAGTTTCAAGAGGGAGTTTAAGAGTGTGGGGGGGAAGGTAGAGTCCCCACTAAATACTTTTCATCTTGTCTAGATGGGTCTGGTGAAAAGAGATGGTGATAAGATTCTTAAGATTCAATCATGAGTAATTGTTATCATGAGTAACTGCGATGGTCACAAAGGTAGAAGTTTTGTAACCAAATGGGGGAGAGTCAATCTTACAGTCTAGAAATAGAGGACCCTAGGACCATCAAGGGAGAAGAAGAGCACAAGCAGAATGCAGGACCCTATGTAGAGAAGCAGTGACACCAGAGATGGAGACAGAGACGGGGACATGAAGAGGGGGAGCAGCTAAGGACTCTAGATTCATGGAAAGAGAGGGACTAAGAGATGGTGGCCAGGGGGCAGACTTGCAGAATGTGCTCTTTGGTGGTGTAAATTATTACATATGCCTGAGTGTTTTTATGTACATCCCCTCTCCCCTAAAACAAACAAACAAAAAACAGAGGGAATGGAAGTAAACACTGTTGAATGATGATGCACAGAGGCAACAGTAATCATTGCAATGAAACATTGGTGTAAAACCAATGTTTTCCCATGTAAACTATCACTCAGTTCACAATAAAAACTAAAAAAAAAAAAAAAAGTTTGCCTTGCCCATTTTACATGCTCTTAACTACCATGCTAAGTTGAACTTCAGTCCAAAGCTTTGGTGAATAAATGTAATTATTTTTATAAACAAAT